ATCCCCAAGCCATCCGGGCCCTAAACACCCAATTCAAATTCCTTTAATTTTAAATATGTTTATATTGTCTATTCTGTAAAATAGTCAGATTGTCTATTCTTATTAAATTCACTTAATGTACAGAATTCACCTGCTTGCTGCATACATTGGAAAATGCGAGCCGTACATATAATATTATTGTAGGTTAATATCATGATAAGTAATGGTTAAAAAGGAGGGTTTCAGCAATGCTTACAAAATACTGAGCTGTTTTGAGGCAACCAACCAACACATAAATAGTAATGTACAGTTGGTACAAAGAGTACACCTGCAGTGTTCTCTCATGGTCCCTTGGCCTTGGACTCAGGGTTTTGAGATTTGGGGATGATGAGGGGTTTTCTAGTTTGTGTTTTTTATAACCTTGTATCTTGGTCCTTTATTCTTTATTGTTATTTGGCCTGTTGGTTACAGTGTTATGTTTACTTTCTTGGTGCTTATTATGATCCTGTATTCTGTGCCTTTTGTTCTGTTTATACACCTTCTATTTAACACAAGTGATTCATGTTTTTTTCTCATTTTAATCAATACTGTATCATAAACCCATTTACAACTTCAATGATTAACAAATAATAAAACACAATGGTCATATTTTCATACATTTATTGATAGTTAACTGATTAATGTGTGTGAACCATAATCATATAAAAGAATGGTGAAGCTTGATATAATTCACACTGAAGCATTTTTCTACAGTCATTTGTTAGGATCTACTGTGCATAGTGACATATATAAATAAAAATATTTCATTTTTGGACGTACAATTTTGATTCACTGAAACGCCAAACGGTGTGTCTATGGAACGCCTAATGCTGACATCCATAGGACCTCTGTGTACAGGCTATTTATAGTCCAAATGTGGTCCTTGTGGATGTCTTTTCAATGTCAAATGTTTTTATACTGCTTTTATCAGCTCTGTAGTCACATGCTTCCAAAGGGTGGAGGGCATGTTTTCTGTACATAAACAGTTATGTGTGAAGGATGCAGAGTGATCAGCGGAGATGTCAGAGATAGCGGGGGCTCTTGAACTAAAACCAAAGTGAGCAGCTGAACGTTGTTTTTGAGCAGAAATGTCCCCAGCTTCTCACAGGCAGTGTGCAAAATATGCACATCAACAAAGATTGTCAAACAGATGGTCCAGTACATACATACACACTTACTTATGCACAAACTTCTTGTACTTTCCATCACAACTTCTCTCAATCCAGCTACTGATCACAAACACATTCACTTCCCTCTTCACAGTAAAACAGCATACTTGTAAAAATGAACCATATATAATGCAAATGCTCTTTTAAACTGTTGGGATGAGAATATTATTTTACTGTTACTATTCATGATCATTATTATTACTGTTGCATCACTTATGATTTATTATCACTCATGATTTATCATTATCATTTCATTAGACCATTTATTGAAACGCATTTATTGAAACTGTTGATGTTACATTAAAGTCTGTATTTCAGGTGTGAGCTGAATTACATAATAATCTTTTATT